ACCACATTGGAAAGACAGCTTGATGCATTTAGCTCACATTTACATAAGTGCTCATTAAGTATAACGTGGATTCTAAGTTTAGACCTACCACCCTTGAAAATCTTGTTTTTCTCTTCCGTTGATAATACCTTTTATTCTCTGTAAGTGGGCTGGGGGGGTTTGTTTCTACGTATGTGAAGTAGAAGATTTACCCATTTTCTTTTGTAGTACTTACAGTGTTTTCATTACATGAAATTTGTGTTTTGACCTTAGATACTCTTTTTCCTTTTTTTTTCTTAACTTGGTATTATTGATTATTTCAAAGATCCTATTTTGCCTGTCTGTTTAGCAGTATTTCCAGTGGTGCTTCAGTATTTCTGTGTATTCTAGCTGTTTATGGAGTCTTTATGTTTCTCTGCATTTTTTGTTTTATTTTTTGAGGTGTACACACACAGTTACACTTCATGGAGTTGCATCCAGCCAAGTATCCATGTTCTTCTTGTGAAGAGGCAGAGAAAATCACCTCTCCCAAGAATTTCCACCTTCTGAACAAGGGAAATGTGTCCTGAAGAGCTGTACGCAGATGGGAGGCAACTTGTTTGCTTGTTCTGCTGCTAGAGCATTGATTTAATTAGAAGACAGGCTGTGGGTGGCCATGTGCAGACAAAGAAGCACCAGACAGAGCCCATTTAGCCTGGGACAGTAAAAGTAAGTTACGCTTTTTTTAAAACACTTTTTTGAGTACTGATGCTGATTCTTGCCTTTAGTACTAAGGGGCAACTTGTAACTTACTGTTTATGTTTACACATAGATGCATCTGTTCTTTTTCTGAGACCCTAGAAATGACACATGTTCTCTAGCACAAAGTACCTGCTTAATGGAAAAGCAGTAATTTCTCCCCCCACCATCCTTTTTTTTTAAAGATTACATTCTAGATTAATTTTACACTGTACCAAACCCAGTATTAGCTTTTGACCAAGTCAAAACACTTAAGCATAGAGCTTTTCATGCTTTTACTTTGTAGTGATGGGAACATGAAGAACTGTTTTAGCCTTTTCTGGTCATTTCTTGATGAGGTACATGGAACTCATCAGATATATTTATCCCGGCTGAATGTACTAGAAGAGAGAGTCCAAGATCAGATCTAGCAGTTCCTGAGGAGCATAAAACTTTATATGTATGACCTTGTTTTTCTCTGGGAGTTGTTACTCTCAAAAATAGACTTCATTTTGGAATTCAATTTTGAGCTACTTAAAGCCACATGTGGTAGTGTGGTGGAGTTGGTGGAAATCCTGTGTTTGACTATGTGGAAGCAATTTAGACTTTTGGATTTTTGAGTGTAATATGTCTTCTAGTCCCGTATTAATAGGGGTATTACCCAAATGGGATTTAATTAGGTTCATTGGTACTAGCATTTATAGTGTTGTAATTTTTGAATCATTCTCTCTGTGTGTATATATATATATATATATACACAAAATATATATATATATTTGTGTTTGGATCTATATCATTTGTGGCATCAGTTTTATACTTTAACATCTTTTTTTGTAATGAAGGAGATAGGCTAATAAGATTTTTCTGTGTTTGGAAAATCACAGGCTGGTATGATGGTGTTTAATTTCAAAGACTACCTTTTGATTTTCAGTTTTTTTGTGTCTGTCAAACCCAGGCTTTTATTCAGAATCTGCAAAATAATGAGGAAAAAGGTTAAGTTACATGATTTTTAAGATTCTGATCAAGATTCTAAATCTTGCTCTTCTCTCTCTCTGTCTCTTTCATATATTCTCTTTCTCTTTCGTGTGTTCTGTACCTAAGTGTTAGAATGATGAAGGATTGTACCTCACTATAGAAATCAGCTTAATGTTGAATTTTAGGCATACCAATTGACAACAGGTCTTTGGCCATTCCCATTGCAGGCAGTTTTTACTGGGAGTCATTCCCAGGGTCGAGCCTCCTATATCATGTACATATTTCCTGACAGTTCATGACACGCATATAGTGTAACACTGGACATCAACACTATAACACATTCAGAGTGGGGAATTTCTTTATGGTTCCCTTTTCTGGAGTATGTGCAAATGTTAGCAACATTTTCTAGTGGGTTAGAAGTCTTTTTGTTAAACACAAAAAGCTTAGTAGAGGACTTAAAAGTTAGCAGTATCCTCCTTCCTCTCCAGTTCTGACCATATCATTTGATAAAAGGGTGATTTAAATTATTATAATTCCATGGTCTGTTATGTTCTTTTTGAGTGACATTTCCATATTATTGTCAATATGGTTGAAAGGTATAATTATTTAGGTTGAAGGGAAGTATAAGTGGCTGCCAAATTTGGCAGTACTGGAGGAACAGCTACATTTGTCTTTTCTATTGTAGTTCATATGGAAAGGACAATTTCAGGTACTGTCTGTGCTAACCTCTTTCTGGACATCTTAAAGGATCCAACTAAAACAAAGTTTAAAACTATTTCAGATGTGATAGTTTATTGAAGCCAATATTTTATTTTAGAGATTTGTGTTAGGTTTGACAAATAACTCTTTGTACTGCAATTCTGTGGCTTTCAATTTAAAAAATGTGAAAATAAAGTGTTGTGATGTCATTTTTCTGCTTATGTTATATGTATCTTTGTAAATTAGGCAGATTAGTAATAGGGGGTAAGTGCAGATGTGTGATACCTTTTTATGAAAATATTTTAAATAATGAAGAAAAATATGTTGAGCTTATAGTGGGTAGTGTAAGAAAAAGTAAAAAAAATTCCATTTTGGACAGAATATTTTGTTTCAGCTCAACAAATGCTCTAATGAACAAATATTAACATTAGTTCAGTTTTTTCTTACATTTCCAGAAACACTTGGGCACTTTAAGAAGATAATAAAAAGCTGTAGTTTCTACTACATATGTTGTCGTGTGAGGGTTTTTTTTTTTTTTATTTAAATAAAGTATGCTATCTTTTGTGAATTGAACAGTTAAAAAAATGAACTGTCACAGATACTAAAACCTGATATTCAATATACTATATTTGACTCAAGTGTTCACAGAGTGTGATGCAAACAAATGTTCTCTCAACTTACATCCAGGATAGCTAAAATATTACTTTAACACATGTTAAAAGTAGAGTGGTCTAAGTATTTGGCTAGATACAATTCCAGGCTGTCTTACTTGAGTAATTTCCTCAGACATTCCAACTTTGATCAACTGCAGCAAGAACTTTTAGCGTGCCTGTAAAGCTGCCAGTGCATCTGTAAATATGTCCTGAGACAGAGAGAAAAGAGAGAAAGTCAAAAAATAAAGAATATCTTTTCATTTAGGAGCATTTACAGAACAAAAATGGAAAGTTTTTGTTTCCTTAGGAACTTTTTTTTTTTTTTTTTTTTTTTTTTTTTTTTTGATCTTTTTTTTTTTTTTTTTTTTAAAGTAATTGAGCCTCTGATTCCTAAGTGTGCCTTGTGATTCTGTGTTAATGAATGAAAGATACTTCGTTTGGGCCTAATAAAAGTGTTTTGTGGCTAACCTTGCTGAAACTTATTGGATAAAATTCATTAATTCTTGAAATATTTACTCTTTATAAATGTAATATTAATTGGCTAAAACCTCAAACATAATAGATAGCTCAGTAAAGCATGTCCTAATTGTTTATAATGGGAAAGTATTTGGGTAAAAATGTTTTTATGTGACTGTTTGAGGATAAGTCTAAGAACAGAAGAGCAGGCAGCATCACTACAGAAATAATCTCATGTACCTTTTTTTTTGATACATAGATGAAAATAGGCTTTCTGGCTTTAATTTTCAGTGACCTGAAAATGGATTTGCAAATATCTACTAATTTTCCTATACAAGGATTAACTTGAGTGTTTATAATGGCAAACCGCCCTCTGCTGTGTGAGAACTGCATGTTTTCTGTGTTTTTGGCACAACATGTTCATATTCGCATGGGTATATAATAACTTCCCTGGAAATATTTTAAGTTGTAGTTAGCAACTACTTGCAAACTGGATATTAAATTGGATGATATGTCCAGCTTCTTCCTGACCTGGCTTTCTGTAGTCCCATGATAACAAATAATGTTACTCCCAGTTAGCTCCAGTTATGAAAATTCTGCTTCTTAGATCAATCTTGTACCAAAACTTGGAGTTAATAATCCTCTTGTGATTTCTATGTTGTAGATCTCTATTATTGTTCATATTCTATAATTATTTAGTCATGGAAAACAAGGTTAACGCAGTTAAATTTACTACTAATAAAGTTTTGCCGTGGTTTTACTTTATTTTCATTGAGCATTTTTTCCAGAACTGAACTAAGTGCAATACAATTGATATACATCCTTTAAGCCCATCCTCTATATCCTAAAATAAATGCAGAGAAATGGTGAATGGGCATGCTGGGAGAGAAGATGGAAGGGCAAGTCCTGGGTCTAGTAATTGTAATTTCATGGGCAGGGTACTTGAACAGATAGCTGAGTTGGTTTCTTGTTACTGTTTCTATGTTTACTAGAGACTTTTTCTTATGTAAACCCTGTCCAACCGAATGCCAGGATTTCCTCAAGATTTAATACTGCTTTATGTCTTATGCCTACTTTCTTGATCTTGAAGTCACTAACATTCATGATGGGAATGGAAGAGTCAACTTTTGCATATATGGGGGCTGGTTATCTAATTTATAGATAAATTCTAATCCTATAATTATTTTACCTGATAATCTCTTTGCTATTTTTTGCATGTTGCCTGAATGTTTGTAGCCCTGCCTCCCATATACCTCTATGTATGGGGAATGTGTGTGTGTTTGCTACAAATTACTAGTTCTAAAAAGAATATCATGTTTTATCTTGATAGGCAGTTTACCACAGGGTAAAATTGTAGATAAAATTGTCTGTACTAATGATATTTGAGAAAGATACCATAACATTTTATGAGTTTTCTGATACTTTGACAAAAAATACCATGACTTCCTGTAGATTCTGAGTAGAAAGCTCATCTGACTCATTATTGAGAAAGAAAAAGGTATTTCAAATTTTATTTGTTGTAATCAGAAGATATGTGGCATTTCTGACCACTAATCTGGCGTTTTTAGTAAAGGTGAGTTGATACTTGATAGACTGCAGTGCAGGCTAAATGAATGGCTTAGTTCTGTATTAATTGTTTCTTTTGTAAGTAGCAAGAGGTAATTCAAACTTTAAATATTTAAGCATCATAATAAAATTTGTTGTTAGGGCTGTCATTTGTGTCAAAGAGCTACTTTGTCTGAAACCTGTATTATATGGAAAACTGAAGATTTATGCAAGCTTTGATTTTGCATCTGCAGATGCTTGAGACCTTCTTAATCTTACAAAGTGGCGGCCGGGCGCGGTGGCTCAAGCCTGTAATCCCAGCACTTTGGGAGGCCGAGGCGGGTGGATCACGAGGTCAAGAGATCGAGACCATCCTGGTCAACATGGTGAAACCCCGTCTCTACCAAAAATACAAAAATTTAGCTGGGCATGGTGGTGCGTGCCTGTAATCCCAGCTACTCAGGAGGCTGAGGCAGGAGAATTGCCTGAACCCAGGAGGCGGAGGTTGCGGTGAGCCGAGATCGCGCCATTGCACTCCAGCCTGGGTAACATGAGTGAAACTCCGTCTCAAAAAAAAAAAACAAAAAAAAAAAAAAAAAAAAAATTTTAAAAAGTGTTGTAGGCCAGAGATTGCAAAAGAGACATTTCACAGTTATGTGTTGA